TAGAGGACAGGAGCAGTGCCTTAAAATGGTAAGCAGTTTCCAAGTGTCAGCAGTTTCACTGAGGTATTTTATACAAGAAATTTGAAAACACAGGTCATAATTTATAGCAGCACTATTTATAACAGCCCCAAAGTAGAAACAACCCAAATACCCATCAACTGATTGTGTGAATAAACAAAATATGATTATTTCTGTATAATGCGTAATATTTGGCCGTCAACAAGTTCTCAAAAATGTTGCAACATGGATGAACTTAAAACATATATGAGGGAAGAAAGCCAATAAAATATACCACAGATTATGTGATTCTATTTCTATGACATGACCAGCTTAGTCGAATCCTAGAAAATAGATTAGTGGTTACCAGGAACTGGATAGTGGAGGAGTAGGAACTGCCTGCAGTGGGCTCAGGGTCTCAGTTTGAACTGATAAAAATGCTCTAAAATTGTTGGTTATTCACCTCTAAAATTACTACCACCGAACAATATGTGTTATAAGGGTGGACTTTATGTAATAAGAATTAGAGATCTCAATAAAGCTCTGATTAAAAATGCTTTAGTGTAAATTTTAAGCACTATGACAAGGAATTTGCACCTTTGTTTTCAACAGCAGTTCACTACTGAAAACTTTTAAGCTCATGAATGGCATAGGAGAAACATCATTTTGGGACCAACTAGAAAAAATGGTGGGCAGACCAGCGATGTGGTGGAACACTAAGCCTATTTACATGGAATATTTGTCCACAGTTTTAACACTCCTGAAAAACTAATGTTACAAATACTTAATTAGGACATTTGAATTGTATGCAGGGGAATTATTTATAATATTCACCTGTTTTTTGTTGTTAAGGTTGCTCTACGTGATAGATAGGGGAGAACTCCAAGAAAGATGGTATCAATGGTTGCAGAGTATGAGAGAGAACAGATGATGTTGAATTTTTTAATTTACCCCTGACCATTGCTGATTTAGAGACAATAAAATTTAATTTATTTTAGCCAGAACAAAATTCGTGAAGAAGGTAGAACACTTTGTTGTTGTTCTTGTTGTTGTTCTTGGTAGGTGCAAATGAGTTAGTTCCAACTGCAAGCGACACTGTCCCACGCTCACCAGGCCTGCTGCATCCTCTCGGTTGTTCCGAAGTGTGAGCCCATGTTGCAGCCACCGGGTCAGTCCAGCTCGTTAGGATGCTCCTCTTTTTCGCTGCCCCTCTAGTAGTCTTCCTCCAGCGATTGATCTCTCTTGATAACATGCCAAAGTACGTGAAACAAAGGCTTGCCACCTTGGCAGTATGAGGCCAGGTTGACTAGAGAAACAAATCCAGTGACACGCACGTGTGTGTAAGGAAGAGCTTTACATCAAGAAGTCGTTGTATGGCAAGAAAATATCTCAGCCCAGTCCAACTCAAATTCATAAATAGAATCGCCTATTTCTTTTCAGTAAGCCAAAAACCAAAGTAATGGAAAAGATTTTAAAATGTTAAGAATTGGCGGGAGTAGCATCTTGTCCTGTTTAATTTTGAGTTGCTACAAAAGCGGAGCCTTCCAGGGAAAAGAGATGCAGAAGTGTGAGAAAAGCCCAGCAGTTGGGTAGCGTTTGCGGAGCTTTCTGGCTCACGTTGGCTTGACAAAGCGACACACCTTCCAGGTTCATCTCCTTTTCCAACTGCTTGCAGAATTACTCTTCGGTTTTGTTTATCTTCTCATGTAAGGAAGAGAACAAATACTTAGCCAAGCACACTTTATTTGAAACATCCGTCTCTGTGAACGGAAACTGAATTCACTTGAACCGCCCGCTCCAATCTGTGTAGTCCCCCCATAAATAGTCGGCATCATGATCTTGTTAGTTACGGGGATTTTGTTTGAAAAAACACTTTAGAGATACATTTTTCAAGAAAATATTACTTCCTCTCCCCCTGGAATAGGAAGATGTGTGTATCTTTCCAGATCCCTGGTTGATAGCTTCCCTGTCCCAGCGTTCTTAGGATCCCACTGATGATGCGGGAATGGAGCTCTCTGCTGGTGATTTGCTGAGCTTCACGCTGCAGTGTTGTAGTTCAGAAATCTGGACACAGGAGTGATTCAGAAGGCTGCATTTATTGGCCTACATTGATGGATTTGAACATTAATTTATGTGGTTTCTTTCAGTTAATAGTTTTAAATACCATTTGACATCTCTGATACAATAATAGAGCATGTTTAAATCCATGAAGAATGACAGATACTGTTCATTAAATCGAGAAGACGGCTTTGCATATAAGGAAAAATGGCCAGATGTGAGACTGTATACTGATTCATGGGCACATGAACAAAGTGGACATGGTGGCAGGGATGGAGGTTATGCATGGGCACAGCAACATGGACTTCCACTCACCAAGGCTGACTTGGCCACTGCCACTGCTGAGTGCCCCATTTGCCAGCAGCAGAAACCAACATTAAGTCCAAGATAATGGGACCATTCCTTGGGAGATCAACCAGCAACTTGGTGGCAGGTTGATTACATAGGACCACTTCCATCATGGAGGAGACAGCATTTTGTTCTTACTGGAATAGACACCAACTCTGGATATGGATTTGCCTTCCCTGCACGCGATGCTTCTACCAAAACTACTATTCGTGGACTTACAGAATACCTCATCCACCGGCATGGCATCACACTTAGCATTGCTTCAGATCAAGGAACTCACTTCACAGCAAATGCAGTGCGGCGATGGGTCCATTCCCATGGAATCCACTGGTCGTATCGTGTTCATCATCCTGAAGCTGCTGGCTTGATAGAGCGATGGAATGGGCTCCTAAAGACACAATTATGGTGCCAACTAGGTGGCAACAACTTGCGGGGCTGGGGCAATGTTCTCCAGGAAGCTGTATATGCTCTAAACCAGCGGCCAATATATGGTGCTGTGTCTCCAATAGCCGGGATTCATGGGTCCAGGAACCAAGGGGTGGAAGCTGCAGTGGCACCACTCACTATTACTCCTAGTGATCCACTTGCAGCATTTTTGCTTCCTGTCCCAGCAACCCTGTGTTCCTCA